AGCTTAATGTTTTCAGGAGAATTTAAAATTTTAAGTAATGGTATTCTGCCTACAGCTGCATGATTGTGTTACCTTGCCATTCAGTAACTATTTTTCTGAAGGATGTCAAAAGGGTGATAAAAGGAAATAAATTATCATTAAAAAGTGTACAGGTCTGAGCCATTAGAAAACTTTGATTTCTACTTTTGCTACTACCCACCACAACCACCTTCCTCTAAACCTTGTTTTCCTCCTTTTTAAAACAAAAGGTTGACTTATCTGTAAAACATTTCTCACCTTTGAGAAGAATCATACAATTGAATGATTCTAAGTACCATAACAAATTTTATTAGGGATAAGGATCCCATCACATCTTTCTCTTCCTTGTTTCACATGCAGCCAGAGCAACACACTATTCTAAACATCCAAGTAGGCCAATATAAAAGTCTATCAATATAAACCTATTCTCAGAATCCAACAGGCTAAAAGGGAATAGAAACAAGGAGGGGCATATTTTTGTCATACATACTTGAACACTTAATATCTCTACCTACGTAACTTCATCCAGTCTGAGATAAAAGAGAGTCTGGTCTTCTACAAATAGACACGTGTCAAATCCTTTAAAAGGTACTTCTCTATTTCAACAGAGACCAGGATTCAATAAATCCAATGTTCAGAAAACCAGACTTGCATCAAAATAAGTTCCATGTTTGTGGAAAAGAATAGTTAGTGTTAGTTCTAGACGAATTAGTTAGTCTCCTCTTAGAACTAAGTTTAAAATCAGTCTTCAAAGCTGTTTTCCCTCTGCTGATAAAGATTTCCCTCTCCAGCTAAAGATTTTTCTAGATTCTATTTCAGGAAGGAGACAAGAGAGTGATAAGAGAGCTAATAACTAGTAAAGCTAACTCAGTTGGTTGTCAGTATGGTATGTTTTACTGAGCCTTTGGGTTGTAAGGGCTTCTATGAGGAATAAGGTCCTGCAACGCCGCCTGTCTGTGGACCCAAGAAAAATTACAAAGTTATTATGAAACCAGATCACTAGGACAAACCGAGAGGCCTTCCTATTCCAACTCACCACAACCAGGCCTGGCTCCAAAGCCGACTCTTTGGCTGTCCCATAGTATGGGACAACAGGTCCTAGCTTAATTCTAATTCACTAACGAGACATTTGAAGACATGTATGTATGTACGTGTAAGGATCAAATATATTTTTCATCCACTTACAAATGTATATGGTCATTTATAATTATTTAGAGTTACTGATAAATGTATACAAATACAGCATCAGCTCATCGAAAATCCTTGGGAGATCGAGGAAGTGAAGTTACTTCAGCAGCCAGGATAGTTACGAAAAACCCTGCAGAACAGTATGGAAAAGTACAGCTTCTCACGTGTCCCTCACATACACAAACACTTAGCTCTGAGTCCATTACAACCTTACGTCCCCCTCAAACTGCTCTCCTCCACCCCACAACTGGGAGAAGTTGAACAACCTCCTAGTTGGTCCCCAAGAGACTCATCTACCTATTATTTTACTCCTCCCGCTTTGATCCCGATCCCGTCCCAGACTAAGGTGGCCCTACTGGCCGCAGGCAGATAACCCCCTGACCCCCCGGCGTGCAAACAGGGAATCTAACCAATTCCCTCCATCCTTAACCATGTGAGCCATGCCATGATAACAGGCTGTTCACCAACTCTGTGAACTCCGTGGTCCTCCCACCCCCACGTGTCAGCCACCCTCCCCCACATTCCCACACCTCACGATTTAGGCCGAGGGAAGAAAGGGGGCAGTCGAAAGCCTGGCCCCTAAGAGATCAACCCACTGGAATCTGTCCCACTGAAAGTCCCCTCCCACCTTCGGCCCCTATCCCTTACAGTCCCTTCCTCCCTCCTTCCTTGGAAACCAGGCCCTTGCCTCAGAAACCTCCTCTTCCTCGTCGTCGTCGTCCTCTTCTTCCTCGCTGTTGTTACTGCTGGTGCCGCCGCCGCCACCTCCGCCTCCACCGCCGCCTCCACCGCCGCCGCTGTTGTCGCTGTCGCTGCTGCTTTCGCTGCTGCTAGGGGGTCGGCAAGTCCGGTTACGCTTGGCCTTGTGGTGCTGCTGCTGCGGCGGCTTCTTCTTCAGGAGCAGGTCGCAGACTCGCACCATCCCACGAGGAGACGAGGCCGAGCGAGCTCCGCTGCTGCCGCCAACGCCGCCGCCGACCTCCGCCGCCGCGGGGGGGCCCGCCACAGCCGCCACCGCCGGGGGGCTCCCTTCTCCTTCTGCAGCCGTCGCCGCCGCCACCGGAACCGTCGCCTTCTCCATCCCCAGGGAAAGAGGGAGGGCGCGGACGGGGGAGGGGCGTGGGGGCTACGCTCTACCGCGACTTCGGCCGCACTGGGGCCGACACAGCAATCGGTGCCGTCTCCGCCGCCACCGCCTCGGTCACCTCTACTGCCGCCGCCGCCGCCGCTCCACCAGCTCTCACCTCGTCTCGCGATACTAAGGGCGGGGAGCCTGACGATGGGAGGGAGGGAGAGGGAGGGAGCAAGGGAAGGGGGGTGAGGCGTTTAAGAGGGATACCGGGTGTCGGGAGAACCAGAGAAGAGGAGACTAGAAAGCCGGGGAAGTGTGCCTGGGGCACGTTCCGAAGGGGAACGGCGGGGACAGATAAGGGGGGCGCGATTGCAGCCGGAGCGCCCGCGAGCTCCCGGATTTCTTCTCTTTCCTCTCTATTTCCCGCACACACAGCCCTGCAGCCCTCCCTTCTTCCTTCCTGGCTTGTGATTAGAACGCAGCCGCAGGCGGAAGTGCAGTGACGCCATCAGCCGTCGCCTGAGCCGTGGGGCGCTGGCGGCCGAAAGGCGAAAGTGAGATTTCGAGGGCCGCGTCTGGGGCCCCGCGGGCGCGCTGTGCTGCGATGTGTGGGGAGTACGGGGAGGCTGGAGAGGAGCCGGCCCCGGGCAGTGTGAGGTGCGGAAGCGCGGTCCAGACACTTTGTTGACGGGAGGCCAGTCCGCCAGATCCGGGAGGTGGGGCCTCGTTCTGGACTGCTGTACGTAGTTTTATTCCTGGTCGTTTTTTTCGACCGCCAAATCGAGAGATAAAGCTTTGGATCATGAGAGATGGCGTCGTGTTGGGAAAAGAGCCTTCTTTACCTAAGTTTAAGCTTGGCTCATAGACATCTTCTACGAGTTTACACGTGTGTAATATGAAGGCAGTCGATTAAGAGATGTCTAAGATCATTACACCACAAGTTTACGAGGGGAGGAAGACACGGGAAGGATGCGTGGTCTGTGCCAGACTTTGTAGACGATTCTCTGAATGACCCTGATTTAGCTCTTCTGGCCCTCTTAGATTCAACTTGGAAGCAGGCATAAATAATGATTATTGTCGGTATACTTCTCTCGGAAGGAATATTGTGATGGGGGTTGTGGGTTCATTTTTAGGTGTCTAAAGAACTTTCAGGACTTTTGAAATGATAGTGGAGCCCATTGAACTCAGAATTATCCCTTTCTGGTCTAGTGGGAGTATAGTGGCATAAGGAAAATGAAGCAAACATCAAAGACAGATGTACTGGCACAAGATTAAAAGTATGTCTCAGCTGACATAGTTGCCATTTTAAGACTGCTAAGTTTAGCTGAATATGCCTGGAATTTTTTTTTTTTTTTTAGCATTTTTTTCTTTTTAGCATTGGCATACCATATGAAATGTGGGCAGTTGCCAGTACTCTACAGAGTACCATGGCAGAATTGGCAATGACTAAATCAATTCATTCAAACAAAAATTCATCATGTGCCTACTGTGTGCATAATTTGTGGAATCAAAGTCTCTGTTTCCAGGGGCTTTACAGTGTAATAACTGCTATAGTAAATATATATGCAGAGTGGTAACCATCTGCCTATTCCTCTCCTACCGTCGTTGCTGAGTCCAGTGTAGAACAAAGCATTGCATTGTGTATCTCACCACTACTGATTTAGATTTTATAATTTCAGCTGCATCCCTCCCTCCTGCTTTGTATATTCTTCAGCATCTTTTTCTCCCTTTCCACTTGAATACTTTTTGCAGTCTTTAAATCCCAGCCCATTTCATTATATGACTTTTAACTTAGAACTTCACAGTTTTCCAAGTGCTAGAAATTTCCTGAGATTTCCTTTTCTCCAGTATCTAGGAATGATACTGTTAATATGTGAGATTAACTCTTCATACATATTCTAGTTCCAATACCCCTCTTTCTCATCCAGTAATTATCTTTTCTGTTGTCAACCTTCTACAAATTTTGGTTCCTTAGCTAATTCTTCTGTAGCTTTCAGTTGTTTCCTTCACAAGCAAACTTTCTTTCCTTAAAAAGTATTCTATACTCAGGAGGCTGAAGCAGGAGAACCGCTTGAACCAGGGAGGCGGAGGTTGCAGTGAGCTGAGATCGTGCCACTGCACTCTAGCCTGGGCAACAGAGCGAGATTCCACCTCAAAAAAAAGAAAAGTCTTCTACATTCAGTGTCTTTTTTGTTTTCTGAAATTGACTTGTCAGCACTGTGCAGTCTAGTTCCCGTGTCTACCGTGCTACCAAAAATACTCTCTTTAAAGTAATCTCATTGTTTGGAAGAAAATGAGTTTTTTGCTCATTAGTATAATAGTGAAATGATGACCTATTTCACTAGTAGGATAAAGTTCAAAACTACTAAAATGGACAAGGCCTGTAAAGTCACTTTCTTTTATTTTTATCTAACTTTTTGTTTTCCCCGCTAGAACTTCTGGCAGGAACTGACTAGCCCATGAAACTTATTTCTTCTTGGGCACACAGCTAAACTAAATTTCACAGCTTTCCTTGTAGTTGGTTGTAGTCATGTGATGAACTACTTTTTTTTTTTTTTTTTTTTTTGAGACAGAGTTTAGCTCTTGTTGCCCAGGCTGGAATGCAATGGCACAATTTCAGCTCACCGCAACCTCCGCCTCCTGGGTTCAAGCGATTCTCCTGCCTCAGCCTCCCAAGTAGCTGGGATTACAGGCATGCACCATCACACCCAGCTAATTTTGTATTTTTAGTGAAGACACGGTTTCTCCATGTTGGTCAGGCTGGTCTTGAACTCCCGACTTCAGGTGATTCCCCTGCCTCATCTTCCCAAAGTGCTGGGATTACAACCAGAGCCACTGTGCCTGGCCGTGATTAACTTCTAGCCAATGAAATATGAATGGAAATGATGTGCTCATTTTTAGGGTTAATGAAGTCCTATTCTCCCTTACTCTTTCTTCATCAACCTGATGCCTTTCAGCATGGTGACCTTGAAAACTATATGTTGGAGATGCCAAAGACAGAAAAGAGAAGAAGGAGTGGCTGAAACACTACTTGGAAGAGAGCCACCCCAATTAGATACATTCCTTTTTGGACTTCCTGTAAGAGAAAAAATTGAGATTTGAGAATTTATATCTATAGGAGCTAGAATGACCATAACTAGTCCAGAAACTGGTACCAGAAGTGGAGTACCGCTAAGACAATAACCTAAAATATGTTACATCAGCTTAGTTATGATGTAGCAGGTGGTAGAGAATGTGATTTGGAGGCTGGAAAAAGGAGGCTCATGTTTGCAGTGGCAAAGTAATTAGTAAAACTGTCACCTGAAATAATTCAAAATCAGATCACCTATTTAGATTAGCTCCAGAGGAAATGATTGAAAAGAGCAAAAGTAATACTACGTGTTGAATTTTATATTTTACTTTTAGTAAGTTTTTACTAAAGAGAAACTCAGGAGATACTTGGCAGAAGTGAGAGTGTACACAAATATTTCTCAGGGAGGGTTGGAAAAGGTGACTTTTTAAGACTTCTAACAATATTAAAAAAAAAAAAAAAAAAAGCTAGAAGAGGTCTTGAGTATAGTTACCCGTGAGATTAAGTCCTGCAACAAAGATCAGGAAAAGGGTTTGGTCTTTCCATTCAAAGTCATTATTGTAGATGGCTTCAAGATAGCTATGATAAAGGTCTAAAGGAACTGGCATAGGAGCAAGGAAGCAAAGCAGTAAATTAGGCTTGATAATTATGTAAGAAAGAACTTTGGGTGTAGTTACTAGAAGCAAATCAATCAGAAGACTACATTTTTGGAGGAACTTTATTACTAATCATACTAAATCTGGTTCAGATATCATTGGGTGTTAAAACAGAGGGTAACTGTCCAACCCGAAGCTTGCATAAGTAGAAGAATAGAGCATTAAACCTTAACAGCTCTCCAGTACCCACATATGATGTGGCCGTGGAGAATGATGGAAAAAAAGAACATTTCAGAAGCTCATCAGGAGCTGTACAAAGGAATGGACAGGGAGTTTTTTCCTGAAGACTAGAATTGGGGTCTCATCAAAACTGTTTTCAGTCTCCAGGAGATGGGCCACAAAATGTTTATGCAGTATTTCCTCATTATTATACATGAATAGTATTGTTCAGTATCATTTTTCTTTTCTAAATGAGAGAATGTATTATAGTTACCTGTCTCTGAGTTACCACTGTATATTGGATTTGTAGGGATGGGGTGACAATAAAGATAATTTGTTTTTTTAGTTCTTAGGTCACATCTGTACCTAATGAAGACAGCTGCACATTTTCTGAAAATCCTAGACTTTGAGCCTGTTCCAGTAACTGGTTAAAACTTCAGATTGTCTCCTTTGAGACAGGGTATGTTCTGTGTGTGGAAAGACAGGTAAAATACATGTTTAGTGATCAGAATAGTAGATTCTTGCAGATACTGAATTCTTCTGGCCACACTGCTATATTTCCATGCTTCTCTTCCAATTAGGTATATGGGTTAGGTGTGCTAATTCGGTTCTAACCAGTGGAATGTGAGTAGAAGTGATGTGCTCCTATTCCAGCTCTCGCCCATGGAAATATCACATGAGCAATCCAGTATATTACCACTCCCTACCAACTTGAGGCAGATGAGCAAATTTGCACTGGAAGCTATGTGTTAAAGATGGCGAAGCCACAAGGTAGGACTCCTGGATTCCTGAATCTTCACTTGGAGGATACTTGCTTCCCAATTAGAGACACTTGTGCTAGAGTTTACTGACTCTTCACTTGGAGGATACTTGCTTGCCAATTAGAGACACTTGTGCTGCAGTTCATATGCATTCTTTTGTGTTAGGCCACTGAGATTTGAGAGCATGTCCGAATGTAGACCCGTCCCTCTTTCTGCAGATGCAATCGTTCATTACCTAATTCTGATTTTTATACCACAGGATGGGTATAAAAATCAGGCTAGCCAAAGTATCCTATCATTCAGCCATAGTGATTAGTTCAGGAATGGGCAGATTAACAAAACTGAAGTTAATCAGAGAGAGTTTCACCATTTGGGCTAGCACTATCGAGAAAAAGGCACCTGCTTTTGAAATAATAATTAAAAAAAAAAACAACAAGCTACATCTGGCCTTTGGTCATCATGTAGAGTGAACCTGCCTAAGAATGAAATCATTACAGGAAAACAGGCAGTCTCAATGATACCGCAGAAGGAGAAGATATCCCATGAATTGAGAAATATTTCCTGGGTTTCTACTCAAGATTGAAATTCCAAGAGGTAAGGCATAGATACTGCCAGGAAGACCTGGGAATTCAAAAAAAAAGGGAGCTCTCTGAGACTAGGGTCACATCCTAACAGCTCACAGCTCTTCTCTAGTGTGCTGGAGTCCTCAGAATCTGCTGGTGTTGATTCACTGATGGGGGCAACCAGTGTCCCCTTAGTGTCCAGGCAGAAACATACTGTACCTTGGTTTTAGAAAGTAGGTTGGCAGGCATCTTTCCTCATTCCCATCAAGGAGTTGGTACCTGCCACAATATATTGTAATCCTTTTCTCTGTTCTTCTAGAGCTACTACAAAGTGCTGGAGAAGGAAAAGCTAAAGCAGCCTGTCATCCTGAAGGCCAAATTATGTAGCAGAAGAGCTTGGGAAAAGATTAAGGCGGTGGTGGGGAGGACCTGTGTCCTGGTGGCTTGAAGCCACAGGGAAAGAGTTTCACTAAATGCCAACAAATGCTAAATAAACAAAACAGGGAGCCAGTGGCTTGTGCTCTGCTTTCCACCTGGAAGTTTGCCCAACATAAACAATTATAATCAAGTAGAAATTGAAGCATATGTTTAGGCAGAGAGGACCAGGTGACACTGATAACCACTATCCTCCCAGCAACTGCCTTAATTTGGCTTTCATGAGTTTTCACCCATATTATTGCAATAGTCAATCTCCCTGCCACTGATCCTATTATACTCTACTTTATCTGCCACATTGACACCTGAGTTACTTCTCGACCTTGTAAAAACAACTTATTTCTGAGTGCAACAGCAATACATGTTTGTTGTGGGATACTAAGAAAATACAAAAAAGCACACACACCAGAACATATAATTCTATCAGCTAGAGATATCCACTGTTGGCATATTAGTACAAACCTTTACACAGTGTTTTCTCTGTGTATTTTTAAATGAGAATGCCACTGTTGTATTTAGCATGCTTTTAAAAATGTTTTATTTTTGTTTTTCAATCCACCAATAAGGTATCCTGGAGCATGCTTTTTTTTTTTTTTTTTTTTTTTTTTTTTTTAGTATATGTGAGCATTTTCTCATAGAATGAAATGCCCTCTACAATATTATATATAATTAATATAGCAATTTACTTAAGACAGGTGTTGCAAACTGGCAGCCTATAGCCAAATGTGATATATGAACATGTTATACTTTGTCGTCACAGCATTTCAAAATCATTTGACTTTTGAATGCATTTATACAAGGCATGCTGTCTTCAATTCTCTACAGTTTCCATAAATTCCTATTATGCCCAGTCCTTATTCACTCATGTCACCTATCTTTTTTGCTGTTGTTACTGTTTCTGTGTGGGCTTTTAAGAAATTTTTGGCATTTGAGTTGAAAACAGCAATTTAGCCAGAATAAGCATGGATGTTCATTCACTTAGTATTTGTTGCCTACCTGCTACATACAAGGCACTGTGTTAGGTGAGAAAATGGTTAGCAAAACAACCACGGTCCTTTATATCTTGAAGCTTATGGTCTAGCGTGAGAGACACACAAATGAAATAACTGCTGCAAGGGAAACCTGAGCTAGAAACTTTTGATTTGTTTTGGGGCTTCCCTGAGGAAGTAATATGTGAACAGAGATCTATAGTAGGAAATAGGCCAAAAAGCGGAGAAGAATCTTCCTAGCCAAAGGAATGTATATGCAAAAGGCCTAAAAAAGGAGGTATCTAACTCTGCCAGAAGAGCTGAAACACAGAAAGTGAGAATGTTTGCAAGATGAGGCTGGAGAAGTAAGTGGAAGACAGATGATTCAGGGCTTGTGGACCATGCTAAGGGTTTTGAGATAAATGTTGATATAGAATCTACCCTAGTCTTCTTTTCCTTAGGGAAACATCATTCTCTTTTTAATCACTCCTTATATGACATGATGTCGAAATCCCCTTCATCCTCTTACTGCCCTTCTCTAGCATTAATAATTTTCTTAGTCTGCTGCTCTGGAACCAGAGCTCAGTTAAGCTGAAGGCTGGGGATGGCAGTCTAGCACAAATAGTAATTAACTACTGGGCGCATTAGTAGAACAGAGCTGCTACCTAAATAAATCCATTTAGGCCAGGCGCAGTGGCTCACGCCTGTAATCCCAGAACTTTGGGAGGCCAAGGTGGGCGGATCACGAGGTTAGGAGATCGAGACCATCCTGGCTAACTCGGTGAAACCCCATCTCTACTAAAAAATACAAAAAAATTAGCCGGGCGTGGTGGTGGGCACCTGTAGTCCCAGCTACTTGGGAGGCTGAGGCAGGAGAATGGCATGAACCTGGGAGGTGGAGCTTGCAGTGAGCCAAGATCGCACCACTGCATTCCAGCCTGGGCGACAAAGTGAGACCCTGTCTCAAAAAAAAGAAAAAAATTATATGTGTGTATATATATACACACACACACACACACACACATATATAAATGGATATATATATATATATCCATTTAAAGTCAACTAAATGTTATTTGGATAATATGTCCCTCATGTTAAATTTGCCCAAATATATATCTCACCTCTTAAAATTTATGTAGTTTAAAATTCAGTATTGTTTTTCTTCATGTACTCCTAGGTTGGGTAAAGAAAGGAACAAGGGAATGGGGAAACCTAGAGTCCTGGGTAACAGAGAAAGACAGCCTGAGAATAAAAGTATGCAAAAAGTAATCTACAACAAAATAATGCACTTAACTCTTGTTACTAAACAAATAAGCTACTCACATTTTAGTTTTGTGTTTCGTTTTATGTTTGTCAGTTTAGCAATTTTTGTCACTGTTTGGAAGACTTAGAGTGGTTATTGCATAGAACACTCCTACACAGAGTTTTGCAAGTTTCTGAATTTTGTACTTTCAATCTGAAAATCAAGAGAAACATTTTCAAGGTTCAGATTCAGACCAAGTTAATATGTTAACAACTAATAACAATATTAAAAGTTAGAACAATTCCTTTCCTCTATCTTTCTCAGGACAAATCGAGTTTATTAGAAAACTAGGGAGTGATCTGGTGAAAGAATCCAAGAAGTTCCAGGGAAATCTTTCATTCATTCATTTATAGATCATTCCACAAATGTTTATTAAATATCTATGGTATTTATACAGCACCTACAGTACTATTTAGGGCACTGGCTATAGCTTATAAACTGCATAACTCTGAATATCTTTTGTGCAAGGAGTAAGTAGTGTAATAGTCCCTTGAAATATAGGAATTCACCTAGAGATCTTCTCAAATCCTCAAATGTGCACGTTTTATATCATGTAACTTAACCCAGAAAATAAAGCATGAGCAAACTGATATTTTTACACAGCAATGAATTTTAAAAGCACGCAGAGTTTCTAGTCTCATATAAGGGGCTTAGAACTTGCCACTGCATCCTAATAACAAGTACAAAGCTGAACAGACAAAAATCAACAACTCTTCTTAAATTCCTCAGAAATGAGGATGCAGGGAAAACTGCTGCCCTCAAAATTGGTGAGACGGATGGGAAGATACAGAGAATCATAACCAGAGCAGAAACCTCTGGAAACCAGTGCTAGGGTAGGGAAACCTGAACTGTAATTGATGAAATGCTGAAGGCTCACTGTGGACAAGCCTGAGAGTCAAAAACTCCAGGGGAACCCAGTCATAGAGGAGCTCTCATACCTTTGTGAATTATACCTCCAGTAGGACTAGTATAGTATACTCACAAAGGTGAACTCACAGTGACTATCAGAGAAAAATCCCCTCATGCTTCTGGCTGGGGGATGGGAAAGCAACCATTTTGAAATACAGCAGAGCATTCTGTTCTTAACATGCCCTGGCTGCAGAAGAAACTTCTTTTCTTTTTTTGGTTGAGCAAGGAGAAACTGTTTTACTACAGCCTAACCCAGTGGGGTTTTATCAAAGCCTAACTGACTTGGGGGAAGGAAAATATCCAGCTCCAGTTAGCTCTAGCCTTCCATGTGGGGAAGGGAAATATACCACTCTAGTCCCCTTTAGCAATTCTGTCCATCATTAAGAGGGAGAAACAACTAAGAAAACAGTGCTGAAGTTTACCATGCAGGGGTGTAGGCTTACCAAAAGACTGAGACCTAATCATAGGACTCAGAATGCTTCCACTCCCTGACACTACCACCACATTACTTAAGGCTTATTTACTGTAGTTCCTTTTACTCAACACATCATAGTCACTTTTTAACAAAAAAAATTACAAGACATATTTGTAAAGGCAAAAAAAAAAAAAAAATGATTTTCAGTTTGAAGAGACTGAAGCATCATAACCAGAATCAAATATGGTAAGAATGTTGTGATAATTAAATCAGGAATTAAAAACGGAGCTATTTTTATATGATAAGGGCTTTCAGAAAAAAGTAGACAACATGTAGGAACAAATGGAGTAATGTAAGCAAAGAGATGGAAATTCTAAAAAAAAAAAATATTAAATGCTAGATATCAAAAACTGTAACATAAATGAAGAATGCTTTTTGATGGTCGTATTAGTACACTTGCACTTGGTTGAGGAAAGAATTTCTGAGCTTAAGGATATGACAATAGAAACTCCTCAAACAAAAAAGCATGAAGAAGCCAGGTGTGGTGGCTCACACCTGTAATCCCAGTTGGGAGGCCGAGGCCAGCAGATCACCTGAGGTCAGGGGTTTGAGAGAGCCTGGCCAAGATGGTGAAACCCTGCCTCTACTAAAAATACAAAAATTAGCCAGGCATGATGGCATACTCCTGTAATCCCAGCTACTCAGGAGTGAGGCTGAGGCAGGAGAAATGCTTCAACCCGGGAGGTGAAGGTTGCAGTGAGCCGAGTTTGTACCATTGCACTCCAGCCTGGGCAACAGAATGGAGACTCCGTCTCCAAAAAAAAAAAAAAAAAAAAGCATGGAGAAAAAAGATGCACACAGTAGGGATATCAGAAGGAGAAGAAATCCTTGATGGAACAGAAGAAATATTTGAGGCAATAATGACAGAACTTCCCCCAAATTAATGTCAGACACCAAACCACAGATCCAAAAAGCTCAGAGAACAGCAAGTAGGATAAATGCCAAAAAAAAAAAAAAAAAAAAAATCTACACATATGCAAATATTCAAATTTTGGAAAATAAAAAATAAAAATATTCTTATATAAGCAGATATATATGGAAACAAAAAGATACAAAAAAAAAAGAGAAACATATTCTGATAAAAAGCCAGAGGGAAAAACACTTTATCTATAAAGGAGCAAAGATAAGAATTACATCTGACATCTACTCAGAAACCATGAAAGTAAGAGGCTGGAGTGAAATATTCAAAGTGTTGAGAGAAAAAAACACCACCCAATAGTTATTTACTTTGCAGAGTTATCCTCCAAAGGTAAAGAAGAAACAAAGACTTTTAGACTGACAAAAATTGAGGGATATCGTTGCCAACAGACCTACCTTGCAAAAAATGTTGAGAGAAATTCTTCAGAAAGAAGAAAAATAGTACAGGTCAAAAACTCATGTCTGTATAAGGAAAGGAAGCACATCAGAGAAAGCGTAAGGG